AGCCAGGCTACAGCACCCACTGGAACATGCAAGGGCCAGGACTGAGAGTAGAACATGTCAAGCAGGGATGCTGCCTTGGCTGCCATATAGAGATCTGGGGATGGGAATGGGCCTATTAGGCAAACACGGGGAACACCCCTACTAGGCTACAGATCCTGCTGGTGAGCATGAGAGCTGGGACTAGGAGAAAACTAGGCCAGGCTGGGTATTAGCACTCATTGGTGTATGTATGAGCCAAGCCTGGGGGGTGAGCCAGGCAGGGTCAGTCCACAGCACATGATGGTATAAGTGAAAGCCAGGACAGGGTGCAGGCCAGGGTTAGATGAACCATAATGCCTGCCAGTTTGCATGAGGACTGAGGCGAGTCAAGCAAGGCTAGGCTGCTGTACCCTCCAGTCAGAGCTGGGACTAGGGATGGGCTGGGCTAACACATGTAAGATTCAGGATTGGGAGCAGGCCTGGTAAGGGAACTTCAGGGACTCCCCAGCTTAGTGATGGGAACTGTGCACAGGTCAGGCTGGGGGCCAACAGGGCTGGGCTAGGCTGCTGCACTTGCTGGCAGGAGAGAGAGCCATAGCTTTTTCCTAATGTCTAGGCTAGTTAGGTATCTGTCATCTTCTTTTTTTTTTTTTTTTAAAGATGTATTTATTGGGTCTGGCATCACGACCTAACTGTAAAATTGTTCCAAGTTGTGGAATAATCACATGTGTGCTTATCTGGGAGTACAGCATTGTTCGTAAGATACTTTGTCCCACAGGAGAACTACAGATTCTTAAAGGATATGTGGTATAATTGATCATGTTATTTGCAGCTTTTTCTAGGTATTCATCATGGGCACATGCAATTAAAACCTGATCCTCTTCCAGAGCAACAATGTTTTAGTATCTTTCATTAAGTGGTTTTCATCTATTGGTGACCAAATCTTACAGCTAGCTCCAGTAAGTTCTAGTTCTGACTCTGATATTTCAAGGTCTGATACAAACCAATCTGCTAACTTTTTCTTTTCATTTTGGTGAACATGTCTATGTGGCAATATACTAAATGGTTTATTTTAATTGACTTATAGATAAGAATGTTCATAAAAGAAGATTGCTTAACTAGGTTTTTTTCCTTTTGTTTTGTTCAAGTAACTTGAACAAAGCCCTGACAGGTCAGGGCCACATAGAAATCCCCTGCCTTCTAAGAATGTTTGAGGAAAATTTTAAGTATACTTCATTAGGCCTTTTTTTTTTTTTTAATTGCAAAGTCAGATATATAGAAAGAGGAGGAGAGACAGAAAGGAATATCTTCCATCCAAAAATTCACTCCCCAAGTGACCGCAATGGCTGGTGCTTCACCAATTTGAAGCCGGGAGCCAGTAACCTCCTCCAGGTTTCCCACGTGGGTGCAGGGTCCCAAGGCTTTGGGCTGTCTTCAGCTGCTTTTCCAGGCTACAAGCAGAGAGCAGGAATGGGAAGTGGAGCTGCTGGAATTAGAACCGGTGCCCAGATGGGATCCCCGGGAGTTCAAGGAGAGGACTTTAGCCGCTAGGCCATGCTGCTGGATCTCAGGTCTGTATCTTAAGAGTGCCTCAATGAACGTGGGACAGCAGGTACCTCGTTTACATGCTGATTTCATTTGCTTTGGACATACACAGAGATGTGGGACAGTTGGTGCTCCGACCAGCAGAGCCAGTAACCTGGACAGGGAGAGGCTCTGGGGATGAAGTACACCAACAGGAAACCAGTGATGGTAGAAGTCTGCCAAGTCTCCCTTACTGCCCCTTCACCTCTCCTTACATACTCTCCCCCACCCCATCCTCACCCCATCCTCATCTAGCAAGATATTGGATACTGATGAGTCCAATTAGTCTAGGTGTTTTTAGCCATAAACCCAGTTCCTGTTCCTGCCCAGGCTAACGAGCACTAATGAACTCCTTAGCCCACAACAAGTTGAGTCATAAATTAGATGTATTTTTAATTTTTTGGAAAAACTCCTGTGTTGTTTTCTGTAATGGCTGTGTTAGTTATCATTCCCACCAACAGCAGATAAAGATATTCCCTTTTTCCATATCCCTGCAAGCATGTTCTTTTTTGGTTTTTGATAACAATCAATCCAACTCTTGTGGTGTGATTTGCACTTGATGGCCAGTGATACTGAAACTTTTCTATTTCTTGCACAAGTTTCTTTATGATCATTTTTTAAAATTGTCTTTTTCTTAAAAATGTGTTATTTCTTTTCACTACTAATCTTTCATAGGCTATATGTACAGCAAATTTCAATTTGTATTTGCTTCTTTAAAAAAAAAAAGGCATGTTTTAATACCGAGTTTTTTTTTTAAATGGTTTTCCACTTAATATGTTCAAGTCAAGGATGGATAACCCAACTTGCAATGTGCCTCTCAGTCAGGTAGGAACTTTGGTTGCCTCCCCCTTTGTGGTTAAGCCACTCCTTGGAATTTTGTTCCAATTATGTGGTCCAAAGAGTTCCACCCATGTTCCAACTGCACCAAAAGTAAGAAGAACATGCAATTGGATGCTCTCAGCTACAATAATCAACACCTATGTGATCAGAGAGTCCAAGTTGGAGCTAACATTCAGAGGAGGCATTTGAACTGGGTACTTACCAGACTTCCGTGCAGTCTCAGATTTCAGTTTCTCTTACACAATGTGGATGTGAACTGACTCAGATTTATACAAGACAGACTGAGTCATGGCTATCAATCAAAACTACAAATCAAAGAAAGGCACCCGGTAATACTTACAGTATGCTGGTGAGGGCAGGTGCACCACATTCGCACATTCCCATGAGACCAACAATGGGGATGCATGCATAAAGCTAATTCCTTAAGGTACAACAGATTTTTCTTGGCCACAGTTAAGAGTGTGCAGAAAAGTCATGCTGCATCTGTGGATGTGACATCATAGCAGTCACAGCAGGGAGAGAACGCTAGCCTTCATCCCCACCAGGCTGCTGCGCACTGCACAGCTCCGCTCAAATAAGCCTCTGCTCACACAGAAAAGAAATGTTCACATCACACACCCTCCTGCAAGAGGGGGAAAATAGTCTCTGACCGGGCAGAAAATGCTCTCTTCACTCCGGGGCAGGGCTGAAAGGTGTGCTAAATAAGATTTATGGGAGGCCACTGTTTTGTGCTGAGTTCCAGCACTGGGCTCCAAAGCACCAGACTACTTGCCCTATTTGCTTCTTCCTGTATTCATTCTGGCAAGAAATACTTCTTGGAACATTGAACTTTTTGATCTAAATCCTTCAAACTTACTGGCATAAAGTCGTTTTACACCTTCAGTTAAGTCACTCTTGAAGCATTTGTTGTGTCTGTTATCATGTTCCCCATCTTGATCTGAATGCTGACTATGGTTCCATCGTTCTTTGCCCTTCGTCCTTCTCACTAGAAGCCTGTCGTTTCATTAGTCTTTCCAAATAATCAACTATGGCCCTACAGATGCTCTTCACTGTGTCTTTACTTTCTAGTTTGTTATTTTAAACTCTTATTTCACTTTCTACTTGGGTTTATCCAGTTGTTTATTCTTCTCCTAAAGCAAGTGAATCCTCAGGGTTTCTTAAGTTCTATCCCAAACATTACAACCTAAAGGCAACTACATGTTGCTTTAGATGCATCCCAGAAGCTCTTATACTTGGGAATTCATTATCACTCAGTTTACATACTTGGTTTTAGTAACTTAAAGTGACTGCTTTAAATATTGTAGCCAGGACACCGAGCAAGAGGAACTTTTCCTCTCCCTTAACTCAGAACCCCTTCCTTGAACTAAATCTTTCCTTTTCAACTCTCCTCTAGAATAAGAGAGACATTTCCAAGGAGATTTATGCCTGCTGCCTGAGACACTTGCTCCCTCATCCAACTGGTACTGCAACACATCCTGCAATGAGTGGCTTCAAGACTCAAATTGTGACTCATGTCACCAAATACAAAATTTTGAGCCCATGATACAGTCTACTGCATGGTTAGGAACACTTGCTGAAGCTCACCAGGTGCCAGACACAGTACCAAGACTCTTACACACATGTATTAACTCATTTAATCTCCGCAACATCAGTCGGTTCCCATTTTGTAGATCAGAAACTGAGGCACTGAGAAGTTTCACAACTTTCCCCAAGTCACACACTTCAAAGGGTAGCACAAACATCCCAGAGACATGCTATTCAAATGAGCTCTTTTGAAGAATTCCACCTTTGAGTACTTTATGTTCAAAACAAATTTGTTGCTACTGTAGTGGCACTCATGTAGTCTTTTTTATTATCACTTTACATAACACACTCAATATTTGTTGAAAAACCCTCAGATTATTTCTAATTATCTTCCTTTTAGCCTATTGCAAGTTATCTGTGAAACAGTGAAACGAATCTCAAGATTCAATTTTTATTTTAGCTGCTGTCTGTTTTTTACTATCAGTTGTTGTGATGTTGTCTTTCTGCCTTCTACCACAGCCTGTTTGTGCTTTTAGATCTTGGGAAAGTGACTTTTCTACATTATTTAGAAGAATTTATAGTCTTTTCGGAAAGTCACTTTCTGTTGCTTCTAATTGTCATTGAGCTTAGCATTTTTCTAGAGATAGATGTCGCTTTCCACAATTGATTACACATATTTTTACATGAATATATCTGAATGCTTCTATGCAAAAGAAAGACAGAAATAGAAACCTTTCACCTGCTAGTTCACTCCCCAACTTGCCTCTGGTATCTGGGACAGGGTCAGGCCAAAGCCAGGAGCCAGGATTTCCCCGGTGAGTGGCAGGGACCCAAGTATTTGACTCATTATCTGCTGCCTCCCAGAGTGCATATTAGCAGAAAGCTGGAATTAGAAGCCACATTGAGACTTGAACACAGGTACTCTGCCTGCTCCCAGGGTGGGCATTAGCAGGAAGATGATTCTGAGGCGCACTTACTCCATTACGGGACTGGGGTATGACAAGCAATTTCATGGCAACTGTCTTCACTGTGTCCCAGCCAGCAAAGGACAGACACAGCAGCTTTGCACTTACCTTTGGTAATGGCTTTGTGTGGGGACTGGCCTCCAGGCTCTCTCGGGGAGGAGTACCAGTCATTGTAGCAGAGCAGGTTGGATGCAACAGATTCATGATTCATGCTTGTTAGATTCTTGCCACTGTTCTGGGTCAGTGGAATTCAGGCGATTGAAGTTGATAAACAATGAATTGCACCTGGGATGTTATTAGCCAAGTTGGTAAAACATTCACGTTTCTTCTAAGCACCTGAGCAAAAGCAGTACTGATTTTTAGGACAGTGCTCACTATTAACAACAGTACTTAATCAAATTTTATATTTTTCATCACTAGTCTAACACATTTGGAATTTAATCCCATACTTTTTTTTTCCCAAAATTCTAGCCAATACAATTTTCTGTGATCCTCCATCTTTTCCCATGTACAGATTATTTCCTCTTGCATTTTGCTCTCTGAGTTACTGTGACAGGTTCAAACACATCTCCTGGGAATTTTGTATGTCAAAGTCCTAAATCTCAGAATCTCACAATGTGTCCTTGTTTTAGATAGGGTCTTTAGAGAAGTAATCAAGTAAAAACAGTATCAGTTATGGCTTATTTATCCACTATGTCTTACTAACTACAGAAAGAGGATATCTGGATATAGAGAAACATTCATCTTGCATGCATGGAAAGCCGAGGGCAGAGATAATTCTACAAGCCAAGAAGCACCAACTGCTGTCAACAAATCACAAGAAGCTGGGAGAAAGGCACACAACAAAACATAGGTAACTTACACACACTTTCTCATTTAATCCTCACATTAATCCCTGAAGGGCATACTAAGATAAAATCTTTAGAATAAAGAAATTTAACAGAGTTTGAGTTCTAAGTCACTTAGAACAATACCAGCTCAAAAGCAGAAGGTGGGAGAACAGTGTGCTTCTTTGGGAAGAACAAATAGGCTTTTTTTTTTTTAAAGATTTATTTATTTTTATTACAAAGTCAGATATACAGAGAGGAGGAGAGATAGAGAGGAAGATCTTCCGTCCAATGATTCACTCCCTAAGTGAGCACAATGGCCAGTGCTGTGCTGATCCGAAGCCAGGAGCCAGGAACTTCTTCTGCGGGGTCTCCCACATGGGTGCAGGGTCCCAAGGCTTTGGGCCGTCCTCGATTGCTTTCCCAGGCCACAAGCAGGAAGCTGGATGGAAATTGGAGCCACCAGGATTAGAACCTGTGCCCATATGGGATCCAGGCACGTACAAGGCGAGGACTTTAGCCACTAGGCCATGCCCCTGGGCCCACAAATAAGCTTTTAAAGAAATGAATGGGAAGTCAGTTAGTTTGGGACCACACTTCTGTATGCAATTTCTCATTCCTGCGCCAGTGGTCATTCTTCTTCCGGCAAAGTGGCTTTCTTAGAAAAGGGATTTTTTTCCACAAGACTCCGCCTTGTAGTTGTACCAAGAAGAGCATTACAAAGGCCTTTTTTTGTAGCTGCTGTATCTTCAACAACTGCTCATAATAGTCATCATACCCACTCTTGAGGTACTAGTGAGTGCTCACGGATTTTTAATTTTTTTAAATTACTATGTAATTCTGCACATCTGAAATTCTTTTATTTATTCAGTCAGTTAGTCATTTGAAAGGCAGAGCAACAGAGAAGGGTCTGCTATCTGCTGCCTCTCCCCAGAGAGCCCCAATAGCCAGGACTGTGACAAGCTAAAGCCTATTTTCAGTAAGGTCATCATTTTAATATTGAGTCCTGCAAATTCTTTTAATTCCAGATGCAAGTCAATTATCAGAAGTATGATTTAGAAATATGGTCTTCAGGCCCAGCGCGATAGTGTAGTGGCTAAAGTCCTCACCTCGAATGCACTGGGATCCCAGATGGCCACCGATTTGTGTCTTGGTGGTCTACTTCCCATTCAGCTTTCAGCTTGTGTCCTGTAAAAGCAGCTGTGGACAGCTCCAAGCCTTGGGAGCCTACACCCACCTGGGAGACCAGCAAGAAGCTCCTGGCTCCTGGCTTTGGACTGGCTCAGCTCCAGCTATTGAAGCCACTTTAGGAGTAAACCTATCAGACGGGAGATCTTCCTCTCTGTCTCCCCTCCTCTCTGTATAGCTGCCTTTTCAATAAAAAATAAATAAATAAACCTAAAAAAAAAAAAGAAATATGGTCTTCCTATTGTGAGATGTTAAGGCATAGAAGCGAGGGTGCCTTTCAGATATGATTGGGTCAAGAAGGCTCCAACTCAGGTTAATGACTCTCCGTCAGTCTGTTAGATGGGTGATGCAGGAAGGGAATTCTGTGACATCTCAACTTGGAACAACTCACCTCCAGAACCATAAACTCAAATGGCCCTCTGTTCTTTGAAGATTAAAGTGTTACACTACAGCAACAGCTATTAGGCCAGCCCAGGCTGACTGCTCCATCAAATGATGGCAAAGACGTGGACAGGGCAACAGCGATCCACTGCTGATGACGGTCTAAACTGCTGTGCTGAATCTGCAAATCAACTTGGCTCTATCTGGGAAAGCTGGGAAAGACGTGCCCTGGGACTCAGCGATTCCATTACTGGGCATGTTATCTGAAAACACTCTTGCATTCAGGCACAAGGCAGCACACAAGAACGTTCAAAGCTGTATTGTTTATCACAGAAGGAAACTGGATCAACACTGCAGGCATTGCTATGGATTTCCTATTTTAATATTTGTTGTTATTGTTAATTTCTTACTGTTCCCTAATCTGAAAATTAAACCTTATTACATATATGCATGAAGAGTAAAAAAAAAATAAAAGGATATATAAAGTTCATTGCTATCTGTGGCTGGAAGCATCCACTGGTCTCTTAAAATGTATTCCTTGTGGATAAGCAGGCACTACTGCACAGCTCTTTGAATTAAAATCTATACAAACACAGAAAGAGAGTGAAAAAAATTAAGGTATATGTGAAGTTAAACATGTAAAAATAAAACTGGATGCTTTAAGCATACCTGCATCACATTTGATTATACAATAAAGAAAATCAAGAGATGATAAAACTAAAATCAGCATAGAGGTAACTTTAGCCAGAATGGGGAGGGATCAGGGAAAAAGCAGCTGAGTATGCGTAAAAACTGAATATTTCTGTTCTTTTTGCCGGAACTACCACCTTCCAGCTATTCACCAAGATGACAAATGCAAAGAGAAACAGGATAGGCACAGGTACATGTTCTCCAGGACTTGCAGAAAACAAGGAAGCTGTTCCTTTGGCCAGTTATGCGTGCATTTACAAGAGAGGTGACATTGTAAACATCTGGGGAATGGATGTTCCTGTTCAAAACGGAATGCCCCCCTAAGTATCACCTTGGCATTCTTGTAGGATTTGCAATGTCACCCAGCACACTGTTGGCATTGTTGTGAACACACAAATTAAGGGCAATAGAACAAACATGTGTATTGAGCTTATTGAACAGTCTAAGGGTTGAGATAGCTTGCTGACATATGGGAAAAAAAAATTTTATTAGAAAAAGGAATAAGCCTGGCAAGGTGAAGACTTCAGCCAGGAGAGACAAAGATCTTCCATTCACTGGTTCACTCGCCAAGTGGTCGCAATGGCCAGAACTGAGCCCATCCAAAGCCAGGAGCTTCTTCCTGGTCTCCTATATGGGTGGCAGGGGCCCAAGGCTTTGGGACATTCTCTGCTACTTTCCCAGCCACAATCAGAGCTAAATGGGAAGTGGAGCAGCTAGGTCATGAACCCACACCTATATGGGATCCCGGCACATGCAAGGTTAGAATTTGGCCACTGAGTTATAGTGCCAGGCTCTCAAATAATAATTTTTATCACTATTGTCTGTAGTAAATAGTCCATCAAAAAAAAGCAACTGGATTATTGTTTTAAATGAATTATTAAATAATTATACTTTTAAAAATTGTTACTAATTATTTTTTAAAATTGTCAGAGAATTGAGCCCTTGTTCCTGGCCCCAGAACACGTGGGAATCTTACCCTGAATTTATCTTCTTGAAACATTAACTCTCAGAATGTATAAAGATAAATGTGCTATGTTATGCAGACTGTGCTGTTTTTGTGTGAGCAGTACCCAGCTGTCTAGATGATTTACCGCTCAGCCTTTCACTTACGGGTTGCAGTTTCCTTGACAGACATTAGTAGGTCACCCACACTCTGAGGAATAATGTAACCAACAGTGTAAAAAGACAAGGAAAGGCAGAAGAGCAGCTTCCCACAGCCAGTGTGGTCCCTCTCACTGGACCATTACCACTTGTTCTAGAATGCCACCATGGAACCTGTGTCTGGCAAATTGCAAGACTTCTGTTAATGATGGTGCCCCCATACTTAAAGACCTACTCTGCATCCGCACTGGAACCACGCTATCCAGATTGGTATCAGAAGTAGCAATTAATGTGAAGATCTCTGATTCAATGTGGTGAATCCTTTGTGTGGTAAGGAAATGGCCAGGAGCTAAAAAAAATTGTGATGCCTGAAAAACTGCTGAAATGCTATGTTTAGTATATTATGGTTCTGATAACTGATAGAATTCTTAAATTTTTATTCCTATACTTTTGTTTTATTTGAAAGGCAGAGAGAGGTTACCTACCCTCTGGTTTACTCTCCAAATGCCTGCAATAGCCATGGCTGGACCTGGCTACAGCCAGGGGTCTGGAACTTAGTACATGTCTTCTGAGTGGGTGCAGGGACCCAAGTACATGAGTCACCACGTTCTGCCTCCTAGGATTAGTGTCTGCAGATTGTTGGATTGGGAGCAGAACCAGACCTCCAACCCAGGGTACCGAAGGGGTGTCTTGCATCAAAGGCTCAAATCCAAGAATTAATTACAATACAAACTTCTAAAAAGAAATCCTCATCTTACATGTGCCAGGATCCCATATGGGATGTCCTCGCTGCTCCACTTCCCATCCAGCTCTCGGTTTGTGTCAGGAGCCGTGTATTATAGCCACACTGAAGCCATGTCAGGAGCTGTGTACTGTAGCCACACTGAAGCCATTCTGAATGTAGAACTGTGGGCCAGTGGAAAACCCCCGGCTGGCTAGATGCTTGGGAAAGAAGTTATGAAACCAATCACATGCTTAGCTTCAATTGTTTCTAGCAACTGCTTCAGAATGTGATTTATGCTGTACCTGCCGACATCTTGTTATTGATTACCTATGCTATTGTTAATATGGTGGTTACTATTGTTGATATGGTGGCTGCTCAAGAACAATCGGTCTTGAGACCATGGCTTGTGTCCCAGTTTCTCCTTT